TGGTTCCTAACTGCTTTGGGGGTGTGCCCACACGTTGTGAAATTTAGCAAGGGCATGCTTCTGGCAAGATGTGCAACAGCAAGAGGGCTCTGAGTTGAGCTTTAAGAATGTCATTTGTTTTTAGGAATATAAGCCCAGTAAGTATATTCTATTGCTTGTGCATACATTACCTGACAGGTAATTACAGCCATCATAGCCAACACCAGATTAGTAGAATTAAAAGGTTGCCCAGTATTAACAAGAGTTTTCTCAGCCTCCTGTGCAAGCTTCTTCAGTTGCCCCCATGTTGGAGGGGACGCATATCAGGTAGGGAATGTAAAGCTCCGCTGTGCAGAAAGCTCTTCAAATTTTCGCACAAAGCGGTCATCCATTCTGAATTTTGATCAATCGAGTTGGGGCCCAAAACCTAAAATTATCAACAGATATGAAAGCATAACCTCGTCCCAAATATGTCAGTGATGCTGGAACCCAACCTTTCTCTTTATCTTTATACCAAATGAGTGTATTCAAGATATTCTTATCCTCCTCTTTCCTTCGAAAATGCAATTCTGCTGCTGATAGATTTTCTTTCCTCCAAATATTCGGAAAATTTAAAGTACGTAAAGTTTTATTCAAGATGTCTTTTGGTTTCATAAATCCCTCCTGTTCCCCCTTTTTTATTTTTTCAATATATTCACGTAAAGTGCGATTAGCTCTTTCAATGATAGCTTGTCCTTGACTGTTATAAGGAATGCCAAAAATATGAGTTATATGATATTGGGATAAAAAGTGAGTTAATTTTGCAGGTTGGTAAGCAGGTGCGTTATCAGTTTTTAATTCAATTGGTACTCCCATAATTGCAAAACAAGACAATAAATGAGTAATAGCATCAGCTTTTTCAGAATGTAATGCAGTAGCCCATTGGAAATATGTGCATGTATCTATAGTATGATGAACACATTTTTGCTGTTCAAAAGATGAAATAAAAATTACATCCATTTGCCATATCTGATTTGCTTGTAATCCTCTTATGTTGACACCTGGTGGGGTAAATGGTAAGGTAAAAGGCGCACATATGGAACAAGAGCAAACAATATTTTGAGCTTGTTTGCGAGTGATAGCATAAGATTTTTTTTTTTTAAGCCTTTAGAGTTAGTATGTTGCAGATGATGTTCTTGTTTTGCTGCTTCTATAGGATAAAGTAATGCATCAATTGTAGCATTTCCAAATGATAAGGGTCCAGGAAGGGCGGAATGTGCACGGATATGAGTAAAGAAAATTGATTTTGAACGCTGTAGAAGCGATTGTTGTACTTGATAAAACAATTTGTCAATATCTGTCTTAAGAGTTATAGGCATTGAAACCTGAGGAAGCTGTAGACAAGAGAGAATAGCATATCGAGAATCTGAATCAATGTTAACAGGAAGTTGAGGAAAATCTTGTAAAACTAAATAGCCCACAACTCAGCAGGTTGTACAGAGGAGAACGAATGGGGAAGGACTTTAGAACGTTCAAAAGTCCAATATCCAGCGGTGTTTTTATTTGCATCAGTAAAAACAGTGGGTCCTTGAACTGGAATATTTGAAATCGGAGATTGAGGTATCATGGGGTTAGTTCGAAGAAAATCAATCAATTTAGATGATGGATAATGATTAGAAAATGAACCAGGAAATGAAGCAAGGGAAATTTGCCAATTTTCATTAAATTGTAAGCATAAAGATATTTGAGCATTTGTTAGTTGAGTAACAATCTGGTGTGGTTCTTTCCCTGATAATTGTAGAATTCGATTGCGACCTTTTTGTATAAGAAATGCTAATTTATCCATATATGTAGTTAAGTTTTTAGAGAAACTATTGGGTAAAAAAAAACCATTCTATTAATCCTTTTTCTTGAGCAATCGCGCCAGATGGAGAATGAGGGGTATGAAATATTATGAATAAAATAGATTGAGAAGCAGAAATATATGTTAAAAAACCATCATTTAATTTTGTTCAACAAATTGAAGTTCTTGTAAAGCCAAAGGGGTTAAGATTCGGGGACTATCTAAGGCTTTGTCTCCTTCTAAAGTAGAAAGTAAGTGTCGTAATTGGTAAGTAGGAATTCCAAGCACTGGGCGTAGCCAATTAATATCTCCTAATAATTTTTGGAAGTCATTTAAAGTTTTCAAATGGTCCCTTCTAATTTGTAATTTTTGAGGCCGGATTCGGTGTTGGTCTAATATTGTTCCTAACTAAGAAATGGGAAAATCCTTTTGAACTTTTTCTGGAGCTATATGTAAGTTATATTGTTTTAAAGCTTCCTGTACCTTTAAGAAAAATTTATCATGTTCAGCAATACTGGGAGCTGCCAATAAGAGATCATCCATATAATGATAGAGAATATAATTAGGATACGTTTGATGGATAGACTGTAAAGAACGAGCTACAAACTCTCGACATAAGGTAGGACTATTTATCATTCCCTGTGGCAAGACTGTCCATTGATAGCGCTTAACAGGTTGAGCATGATTAAGAACAGGAACCGTGAAAGCAAATTTATCTCTATCTTGTAATTGTAAAGGAATAGTAAAAAAAAAAAAAAAAAAACAATGCTTAAGATCTAGTACCATTAAGGACCAATTTTGAGGAATGAGAGCAGGAGAAGGAAGGCCCAATTGTAAGGCTCCCATAGGTTCAATACATTTATTAACTTTTCTTAAATCAGTCAACATTCTCCATTTTCCAAATTTCTTTTTTATAACAAATACAGGAGAATTCCAAGGGGAAGTAGAAGGCTCTATATGGCCAAGTTGAAGTTGCTCTGATATTAATTGCTCTAAAGCCTCGAGCTTTATTTTTGGTAATGGCCACTAGTTTCCCAACGGAATGGCTACAGAAGCCCCCACGGGTGAGAGAAGATCTCTTCCCCGTATATTAATAGGTATACTAACAATATAAAAGGCGACAAAAACTGTTTTTCCATGATGAAACTGGCATTGTAAAGGATGAGTACTCTTCCAAACAGTGGCAATAGAGCCTAATCCTGTCAGCATTAGAGGACTTTTTTCTTTATTCCATTCCTGGGGCCATTGTTGAGAGGAAATGACTGAGACATCTGCCCCTGTGTCAACCCTTCAAAGTTCCTTCCTTGTATGGTCAAGGAAAGAACAGGGCGAGAATCCTTGATAAGCATTTCCCAAAATATATGTTGCCCAGTACTTCCAAAACCTCCTGACCTTTCATTAGGAAGAGCAGAAAAGGGAAGATAAGATAAAAGAAGTATTTGTGCTATACGTTCTCCAGCTAATAGTGAAAGCGTAATAGAAGTAGAAACGATGATTAAAATTTCTCCAACAAAATCAGTCTATCACTCCAGGAATTATGGTTAGACCTCTTAAAGCTGCGCTGCTGCGGCCCAATATTAAGCCAAAAGTGCCTTTAGGCAATGGGCCAAATATATTTGTTCTTAATTTATAAATGCCACCTCCCGGAGACAAGAGAACATTTTCAGTGAGAGGCAAGTCAGCAGCAGCACTTCCTGAGGTTGCAGAGCGTAAATCTGACACCCTTAAAGGTTTGGTTATTCCTGATTTAGTAGTCATTTCTAAGGGTTGCTGGGGAACAAAGGGGTTATTGTCCCAGGCTGACAATGAAGGGCTTGTCCCAGGCTGATTGTCCCCAATCGCCGAACATCCTAAGCTTGTAAACGAGCCAGGGTGCTGACCAAGTAGCAAACTCAAGGTTAAGACAGACTAAGTGCATACACAAGACTGTGTTTAAGCAGAAGGTCATTTGCGAATGCAGAGCGGGAAGTTGGCAACAGGCCCCTGGGAACAGAAAATGGGAGGACAGTGGAGTTGGGTCCTTCTGGGGTTGTGCCCGTTTCTCAGAACGGAGAGATTGTGTATTTGAGCTCTGATATCCTTGAGGTGAGTGAGCAATAAGTCCAGGGGTTTAGAGGGTGTATGTCCCATTTTGTTAGTCTTAGTCGCCCAGTAATAAAAGTCCAACAGACATACACAGAGAGACAGATAATAAAGTTTGCTGCACGGGGAAACGAAACTGAAACCAGGACGGCAGCGCTGCGGAAAAGAAACAAACTGGGATGAAGGTTTTTGGTTGGATCCTGGGCACAAGTTGCCTTGTCCCTTTGAACTAATACAGAATACAGGTTAGGGGCAGTCCATTGAATATTTTTTCCCTCTGATACAGAAGGAGCCTGGAACATCTTCCAGGTCTCCTGCGACCGTGGCCCCCAGAGCGTCCGCCTTAACCACTTTTGGTCGCTTAATATAGACTTGTCTCGAGACCAGAGTTACACAGATAAACATAATAGAAAAAGATTCTTATGTAGCATCATCATACAAGCACCAATTACAATTATGGCTTTGACCATTCAGTATCTGTGAGGTGTTCATTACTTTTGGTGGGACCCATTCATGATTTTTGAGAATTTGTTCTTTCATTTTGTGTTTTTTATCATTGTTGAAAAAGTCAGGTCACTTTATCAATCTCGTCGTTCCCGTTAGACGACGAGGAGGACTCATTAGAACTATCAGATTCAGTATCTGATTTCCCATCCCTGGAATGCAAAGTGGCGGCCGCAGAAGCATCATTTAAAGTGGCAGCATTTGATTCCTTTGGTTTCTCATTAGGGACTTCCTCATAAATCACCTCAGATTTTATGGTTTTAGTTTCACTATCTGTAGAAAGCAATGCAAGTGCTTGAGTGATAGCACTACATAGAGTCCACAATTTCAAAGGAATTATGTTACCCTTCTGATGCTGTCGCCGTAATTCCTTTTGTATTAATTTCCATTCCTTTAAATTTAATTGTACTTCGGGTTGGCACTTAAACCCATAACAATGCTGCTCCACAAGGCAAAATAACTCTGATAAACGGCGACTAGATGCCTTCACCCCGATGGAGTGGAGAAGTCCTTTGACTAGCTCCATGTATTGTGCTTTTGCTGATGGGGATTTCCCCATGATTTTCCCTAAAGTTCCCCTGCCTTGGACCTACAATCCCCAAGGGGTACTCACCCTTTCGGTTTCATTTGCCCTCCGTTTCTTTCCTCGCGTTGGGCGCCAGATGTAGCGAACGAAATGGCAAAAAGACAAGACACACAAAGACAGACAAAGACACAACTCCGGCCTGAAGGAGAAAAATCTCCCCAAGCCTTCGTGCGGTTTATTTTTATACCCCGGTAGCTGGACACATACCAAAATCTAAGAAACGCATTCTTCTAACCAAGCACATTCCAAGGATGGGTAGAACAAAGGGAGACAGTGACCACAGCATATTTACTAAGAAGCCTGCCCAGAACTCCAGCCTCCTCCCTATTTTCAAGGAGGGCACATTCCCTCGTTTGCGAGCGGACCGTTAACCTTGGATATTGTGTGCAGGCCCCTTGGCAGAACATCCTGTATGCAGGCATGCTCCGCCCAACCATTCTTTCTTATGGTCACTGTTGGGCTCCTACAATTTAGGTCATATGGGAATCACTGTTGCCAGGAATATATCTGGGATTATATATTTAGTCCTACATTTCTGGAATGTTTCCAGCTGGGTGTTTCTTAATAAAAAGTGTATGTATATATGCATGTGTCTGATCATTGCTTATGCATGAAGTGATTGTAATGTTGAAACTATAAGTGAATCAGAATTTTTTTGTTACTTATTTTGAAATACACATTACACATAATTAGGATTTTACAGAGAGAATGTGAAATAATAAATTGGAAGCATCGTTGCTTTTCCTTGAATCCTTCTGGTACATTTTAGTTGACTGTGTTTGTGTAAAGAGGTTCCTAAGAATTAGGTATCTTAATTCTAAAATAGCAAAAGATGGAAATGATGGAAATGATATGGGGATAAGAAAAACTTTTTTTAATGTTTATTTATTTGAGAGAGAGAGACAGAGTCAGAGTACAAGTTGAGGAAGGGCAGAGAGAGAGGAAGACAGAGTCCGAAGCAGGCTCCAGACTATGAGCTGTCAGCGCAGAGCCCGATGTGGGGCTTGACCTCAAGAGTGTGAGATCATGACCTGAGCTGAAGTCGGATGCTCAACCAATTGAGCCACACAGGTGCCCCAGGAAAAACTTTTTTAAAAGCTGAAGTAGGAGACTATAGATGATTAGAAGAACATCTTTTTGTTTTGAGAAACAAAAGTTACTGGCGTTAGCCTTGTTAGGAGACAGGTGATGACACCTCAGCCTTCACATGAAAATACATGTCCTTTGTGCTGGGAAGTATAGGCTTGAAGAAGTCTTGGGGGAATGTTAAACAGGGAGAACTTTAACATATTTCAAGAGAAGAAGTGTTTGATTACTTATAACACCAGTTGTTTTGTTTTTTGAACAGATAACGTGCCTGGACGTTTCCAGTGGAGGCGGCCTTGGTGTGTCTTCTAGTATTGATGGGAGCATGAAGATCTGGCAGGCTTCCAATGGCGAGCTCAGAGTAAAGGCTTTGGATATGCTTTCAGGGTCTTGTGCATAAAGGGTGGTCTGAGAAACCTTAGACTGGGTTATGGGTGGAAGAGTGGCTCATTCTAAATTTGTAGGACCACAACACTTCAGTTGATCTTTGTTCTCCCATATGTTAATTTTGGAACCACCCTCAATCTTGGTGATTTTCCAGAACAAATTGGAGCTGGAAGAGTGGAAGAGCCAGGCCAGTGAATGTCTAAATCGCTGGTCCCTTGGTATGAACTGCCTTCAGTGATCAGTTTCTAAGACAGAGTAGCTAGACTGTTATTACTGATTATATGGCTGAGCCCCTCTAACCCATACAGAGGATTTTAAGAAGAGGTGAGTAAGTGTGCTTAAGCCTCCAAGTATGTAGAAGTAGACTTAAGGATGGCTGTGAGAACCTCAGTTCAAGTCCACAACATCTGTAGCCAGAGCTACAGGAAAGGGAGTCAGCAGCTCTTAGAAACACTGCCTGGTATACAAATGAGCTAAAGAGCTCCCATTCGACCTCCATAGTTCTTTTTTTTTTTTTTTTTTTTTTTTTTTTTTTTTTTTTTTTAAAGAGAGAGAGAGAGAGAGACAGCGTGAGCAGGGGAGGGTCAGAGAGAGAGGGAGTCACAGACTCTGAAACAGGCTCCAGGCTCTGAGCTGGCAGTCAGCACAGAGCCCGACGCGGGGCCCGAACCCACGAACCGCGAGATCATGACCTAAGCGAAAGTCGGACGCTCAGCCGACTAAGCCACCCAGGCGCCCCTCGACCTCCATAGTTCTAAAACCCAGCATGTAGGTATAGCATGTAGTATTAAGGGGATCGAGGATATAAGAGGTAGGAGAATATCAGGGGATGGACAAGAGAACTAGCATGTAATTTTCTTTTGTTTTTCCAGAGAGTATTGGAAGGACATGTGTTTGATGTGAATTGTTGCAGGTTTTTCCCATCAGGCCTTGTGGTTCTGAGTGGGGGAATGGATGCCCAGTTGAAGATCTGGTCAGCTGAAGATGGTAGCTGTGTTGTGACCTTCAAAGGTCACAAAGGAGGTATGAAAAGTGATTTCTCCAAAAGGCTTCTCTAATGATCCCCAGAGACAAAGCACCAAAAAAGTAGAAATAGAAGCTAGTTATCTACAGAAACACAAATAATTCCTCTAACTGGCCATTTAAATGAGCTATTTCCTCAAGGATTATATGATATCACTTTGACACTGAGTCTTGTTATTACTAACTGCCTTACACAGGTAGTTGTTTTCCACAATGGATAAGTGAAAAAAAAAATCCTCCCCAGGAGGTCATTGGATTGTGTGCTGGGAGAAAGGGAGATGTGTGCCAGCATTTTCTCATTATTAGCCCTTTGGCTGAGGTGATAGTAAAAGCTGGGTGGCAAATGGCTACATCACTAGACAACAGAGATAGAGCTTGGTACAGGTCCCACAACAGAGATAGAGCTTGGTACTGATTGTCAGGTCCCATGGATTTAAGTCACAGTTCAGATTTTAAAAATGGATTAGCCATATAGCCAGTTGATATCAAGTCATAGAGACAGAATGAGAACATTTTCCCCTTTAACTGGTTGGTTTGTTGGAAAAAATGATAATTTAAAGATGTTTTATCCTAAATCAGGATGTTAAAAAGGGGATATAATATTTTTTTTTAGCGTTTATTTATTTTTGAGACAGTTTGAGTGGGGGAGAGGAAGAGAAAGAGAGGGAGACAGAGAATCTGAAGTAGGCTCCAGGCTCTGAGCTGTCAGCACAGAGACTGATGCGGGGCTGAAACTAATGAACCATGAGATCATGAACCAAAATCAGCCACTTAACCAACTGAACCACCCAGGTGCCCCTAAAGCCTGATCATTTTAACAGAGTAAACTTGTTAAAAACATGCCTAGAAATAAGGATTTTGCTCTTTTTCTTACTAATACTGATTTCAGTCATAGTTTCATTTAACATTCTTATTTCCCAGACAATGGCTCGGATATTTATATGTGATTCAGCTGAATTTTTTATTGAAGGCAAATGCTTTTTTATCTTGGTTTTTGTGTTGAGGACTCTTATCCAGTCTGGTTTGATACATGATGCTTTTGTGAGTTCTGGTAGGTTTTGCAATAGCTGCTTCTCTTACAAGCGCATTCCTACTACTTTCACAGTTTCTAATGTAATTTGTCATAGGTTCCAGCTCCTGTATTGTTCCTTTCTTTCTTTTATTCTTGTCACCTAAGAGTGAAGAGACCCATACTAGATGCCACTTCATTGCCAAAGAAGGGTTGAAGGAAAGTGGAGTGCTGAGTCCCACTGCCTTGGTTTTCCTCTTTCCACCTGCTGTTTCCAGGTCAGGGTAGAAGCTCAGCTCGCCCCTGGACCCTGCTGACAGTACCTTGCTGGGCCTAGTCAATGTCAAGGGTCAAGGGAATTGTACTGCTGCCTCCTGCCTCCTGGGGGGTGGGGTAGAAGATCACTCTGTGTTTAACCCTACTGACCTTGAGGAAGGGGAGGTAGCAGTTTTTCTGTTGCTATTTGAAAGTTTCTCTTAAGCCATCCCTTTCCCAGTCTTTTGCAACAGACATTTCCAGTTTTTTGTTTTTGTTTTTTTTAATTTGTGCCTGATGTATTTGTTTTTTTTTTAATCAATTCCTAGTTGGAGACTTCTGCAGTATCCTATCCAGGATATATGGGAAGCAACAAGGTAATCCAAGGAATTTGTTACCCTGTTGTTCTTCAAGACCATAGGTCCCTAAGGTGGTCTGCCTTCTTCCCATCTTTCAGTCTTTTTTTTTTTTAATTTTTTAAATATTTGTTTACTTTTGAGAGAGAGAGTAAGAGTGAGAGCAGGGGAGGAGCAGAGAGAGAGAGGGAAACACAGAATCCAAAACAGGCTCCAGGCTCTGAGCTGCCAACAGAGTGCCCCATGTGGGGCTTGAACCCATGGACCATGAGATCATGACCTGAGCCAAAGTCAGATGCTTAACTTACTGAGCCACTCAGGCAACCCCATCTTTCAGTCTTCTTATACTTTCTGTCTTATGTCCAGGTTTTGCTCAGTTATAAGAGGAAGGACCTGGGGAAGATGGGGCTACTGTATCTTGTCCAGACCAGAAGTCACATCTTTTTTTAAAATGGAGAGACTAATCCCTTTCAGTTAGTTCTCAATGGAAGCAGTAAGACCATGATTTTCAAACTGAACTAAGATGTCTTCTTAATTTTTATTTAAAAAACATGTTTTGAAGCCAAAATTAAAACCTCAAAACCACTGTTCTAGGATACTACACTAGGAATTAAATCCAAACCTTTTTCTTTTTTTTTTTTTTTACAAATAGTTTATTGTCAAATTAGTTTCTACATAACACTCAGTGCTCATCCCCAAAGTGCCCTCCTTCATGCCCATCCCCCCCTCCCCCCCACATCCATCAGTCCTCAGTTTTTGTCAGCATTCAAGAGTCTCTCATGGTTTGCCTCTCTCCCTTTCCCCCACCATTTCCACCCTTCTTCTCCCCCTTGGTCCTCCGTCAAGTTCCTCCTAATCCTCCTATACGTGCAAACATATGGTATTTGTCCTTCTCTGCCTGACTTATTTCGCTCAGCATAACACCCTCAAGGTCCATCCATGTTGCTACACATGGCCAGATTTCATTGTTTCTCATTGCCATGTAGTATTCCATGGTATAGATAAACCACATCTTCTTGATCCATTCGTCTGTTGATGGACACTTAGGCTCTTTCCATGTTTTAGCTATTGTGGAGAGTGCTGCTATGAACATTGGGGTACATGTGCTCCTATGCCTCAGCATTTCTGTATCCCTTGGGTAAATTCCTAGCAGTGCTATTGCTGGGTCATAAGGGAGTTCTATTGTTAGTTTCCTGAGGAACCTCCACACTGTTTTCCAGAGGGGTTGTACCAGTTTACATTCCCACCAACAGTGCAGGAGGGTGCCCGTTTCTCCACATCCTCGCCAGCATCTAGAGTTCTCTGATTTGCTCATTTTAGCCACTCTGACTGGCGTGAGGTGGTATCTCAGTGTGGTTTTGATTTGTATTTCCCTGATGAGGAGGGATGCTGAGCATCGTTTCATGTGTCTGTTGGCCATCTGGATGTCCTCTTTGGAGAAGTGTCTGTTCATGTCTTCTGCCCATTTCTTCACTGGGTTGTTTGTTTTTCGGGCGTGAAGTTAATCCAAACCTTTTTCTATGTCTGTTTCTAAGGGCATCTTTGATTTTTTTTTTTTAATGTTTTATTTATTTCTAGGAGAGAGAGAGAGAGAGAGAGACAGTGTGAGCAGGGGAGGGTGAGAGAGAGAGGGAGTCACAGACTCTGAAACAGGCTCCAGGCTCTGAGCCGGCAGTCAGCACAGAGCCCGACGTGGGGCTCGAACCCACGAACCGCGAGATCGTGACCTAAGCGAAAGTCGGACGCTTAACCGTCTAAGCTACCCAGGCGCCCCTCTAAGGGCATCTTTGAACCATTGAGAAGCAGGAACTTACTTATTTCTCTTTTTGTAGCACTTGAACTTGCCCAACATCTGTTACACCAGTATATGTTTGTGAAGGTATGGAGTCATTTATGCAGATCCATATTCTCTACCTTTGTAGTTCCTTTCTACCCACTCCATCATAGCGTCTTTTTTTTTTTTTTTTTTTTTTTCTTGCCAGGTGTTTTGGATACAGCCATTGTTGATCGGGGCAGGAATGTGGTATCTGGTTCTCGAGACGGGACAGCACGACTTTGGGACTGTGGGCGCTCAGCCTGCCTGGGAGTCATTGCGGACTGTGGTTCTTCCATCAATGGAATGGCTGTGGGTGCTGCTGACAACTCTATAAACCTCGGCTCCCGTGAGCAGATGCCCAGTAAGTTGATGATGATGTGTTGAGCTTATTTTGTTCCTTAGGCGTCTTCAGTGTTTGCCTTAGCTTCTCCTTTTCTTCCTCCTCCTTCCCTGTTCTTTGGCAGGTATCTGATTATTCTCACCATAGGATTAATATTTATTGCATACCTACTATGTTTCTGTTGCTTTGGAATCTACAAAAGAAGTGTATGCCATTGTTAACTACATTTGAGTGAGTGCAGTTTAGCTTGTCAGATGAGACTGATGCCTATAAAACAGAACAAAAAAATTTTTAGCTGAAACAACTTAATGATTCTTAATGTAACATAGTAGTTTTTTTTGAAGAATAAAGTATTTTATATTTTAGGTTAGTGTACATAGATAGGGGTCACAAAGAAGTTGACTTGAGCCTTGACGGACGAATTTGATTTGAACAGACAAGAATGGGAATAATGGGAGATGTGGGGGAGGGTAGGGGCAGTTCACATTAAAATGGTTTGGAGGTAAAATTGACTACTGGGTAGAAAGATATGCATGGCTGGGCCAGAGGTTGGATTAAGAGTAGTAGTAGTGGGGAGCCTTGGCTGGCTCAGTTGGTAGAACATGTGACTCTTGATCTGGGAGTTGTAAGTTTGAGCCCCGTGTTAGGTGTAGAGATTACTTTAAAAAGTCTTTAGGGGCTCCTGGCTGGCTTAGTCAGTGGAATGTGCAGCTCTTGATCGTGGGGTTGTGGGTTAAAGCTCCACATTGGGTGTAGAGATTACTTAAAAATAAATTTTTTTTTAAGTTTTTATTTTTGAGAGAGAGAGCAAGCATCCATGGGGAAGGGGCAGAGAGAGAGGAAGACAAGGAATCCCAAGCAGGCTTAGGTTATGATCTCATGGTTTGTTTCCTGAGATCGAGCTCCAGGTCTAAAGTATAGACCTCTTACCTGAGTTTCAGACTCTCTAGATGTCTGATAGCTCAAACTTACCTTGCCTAGCATGGAGTATTTTATTTCCCCCCGCCCCAAATCTGTGTACCACTCAGTAAATGGCACCACCATCTACCTGTTTGAATGATCATTAACAATCCACCGCACCTTTCCTCACGTCCTATATTACCAAACTCTGTCATCTCCACCTTCAGATTGTTTCTGATTTTTCCACCTGCCCTCTCCCTCTTCTTTCCTCCTAGCATCATGGTCTGGTCTTCCATCATCTGTTGCCTGTACCAGTCTCCTATAAGCCATGCAGAGCAACCATTGTGGTCATTTAAAAAAACATAAGTCATGTCTCTCTCCTTTGTCCCTACTCTCCTCCAGTAGCCTCCTTTTATTCATGAATTAAAATCCTAACCCCTTCCCTTGCCTTATCATAAATCCTTATACTTTCTAACCTCCTCGTTCATTTTTACCCTCATGTCGTACTGCCCTCGGCCAGCCTACCATGTTCTAGCCACAGGCCTTCTGTCTGTTCTTTCCCCGCTACCATCTTTGCCAGCCTCTTGGCCTCTGCCTTATTCTTCTTTAGTCTGGAATGTACTTCCTAAAGTTCTTTGCATGACTAGCTTTTGGTAATTATTCAGGTCTCAGTTGAAAAGTGGCCTCCATGGAGTCTTTTTAAAATTAAAGTTTAAATTTAAAGTTACCATCCTCACTCTCTCCTTCCAGTCTCTATTCAGTTTTGATCATACTTTCCTGTTCTGTTTCCTTTGTGGAACTCATCACTGTCTGAAAATATCCTATTTGTTTATTTACCTATTCTACTATTTCCTATTTCCACTAGAATTCTTGAGAGTAAGGATCTTGTCTGTTTGTTTATTACTATTACTATATTACTGTTTGTGTATACCATTTGTATATTAGTAGGATAGTGCTGATACTTTGTAGACCCTCAATAAAGGTTTGTTTCATGAATGAATAAATTTCATTGACTACAGACCATAAGAGCCTTGAGGATAGAGACTGTTTTGCTCAACATTGTACCCCTCATATGGTATGTCATATTACAAAGAACTTAATATTTTTAAGTTGGGTTTATTGACATATATTTTACATGTAGTGAAAGTCACCCTTTTCATTTTTTAATTTTATTAATTTTAAAAGTAACTTATTTATTTATTAAGTAATCTCTACCCACAACATGGAGCTCTAACTTACAACCCCGAGATCAAGAGTCACATGCACCACTTACTGAGCCAGCCAGGTGCCCCAAAAGTCACCCTTTTTAAAATGTCAGTTCTGTGAGTTTTGACAAATGTGTACAGCCATATAAATAATATCAAAAGTCCAGATATAGAACATAATGTTTTTTTAAGTTAGTAAGTTAATCACTAACAGTAATTCAATAAACAGCCATCAGTATCTGTGCTTTCTGGGCACGGCCAGCTGATCAGCCCAGCCCACTGTTGACATGGCTCATCTGTCATGCAGGTGAACGGGAGGTTGGAACGGAGTCGAAAATGCTGCTGTTGGCACGGGAAGATAAGAAACTTCAGTGCTTGGGACTGCAGAGCAGGCAGCCGGCAAGTGGTTCCTCTAAGACTTTTGAACTCTGGGGCAACCTGGGTCACTCTGATTTTTGAAATGCTATTTTGGACCATTTCTGTTTGCTCCCTCTGTTCACCTTTTGAGGAAGCTACAGGAGTAAGGAGCAGTGAAATGTAAGGATTAACAACAGGGGTTTTGGAGTAAGGGCAACATTCACATCCTAGCTCCTCCACAACAGCTATGACATTTAGTAGGTTATTGAAACATTCTGAGCCCCAGTTTCCTCATCACTAAACTAGGCATAGTAGTACGCACCTTGTAGGGTTATGTGATGAGGATTAAATGTTCTACTGAATTGTGATCTTTGTTGAGTCACTTTCTCTGTGGGCCTTAGTGTGCTACATGTAAAATGACAAGGTTGTATAGATTCCGTTCTATGTCCAAGGTAATGTGAAGAAATTCTGAGTAAAGGACTCCTGCATTCAGGGCTTTTGATCAATTAATGGCCAGAATGTCTTGTATGGAAGAATTAATTTGATTCTTTTCCTTCAGCCTCTGAGGTTTTGCTGGGCAAGAATATGCTCTTCATTAAGCTCTGAGTTTCCTGGGGTTTAATTTTTAAAATTTTTTTCCAAAAAAAAAAAAAATTCTTTCCAGTCTCTGTCAGCATCACCCAGATAACTTTAATGATTTGGTTTGGTGACAGGTTTTGTATTTTCTTCTTTTTTTTTAAATTTTAAAAAAATTTTTGAGAAAAAGAAACAGAGCATGAGTGGGGGAGGGGCAGAGAGAGAAGGAAACAGAATCTGAAGCAGTCTCCAGACTCTGAGCTGTCAGCACAGAGCCCAACGCGGGGCTCAAACTCATGAACTGTGAGATCATGACCTGAGCCAAAGTCGGACGCCTGATTATGCCACCCAGACTCCCCTAGGTTTTGTATTTTCATTTCTTCTCATTACTTCATTGTGCTAGTGATGTTTCCATTTTCAGAAATGACATTCCAGGAACATCACTTGTTTTGATCATATTGCTTTTGTACTCTGAATTTCCACATTGGCTTTTCCTTCCAACAAGAAATCACAGGCTTTGTTTGCTTGGCTGGGTTTTTTTTTTTTTTTTCTTTCCTTTTTAGAACATTTGAAGGAGAAATGATCACATTGAGCTAATAGTACAGAATAAATAAAAATCTGATAATTTCTTTTTTCAGGCACATAGGGAGAATTGTAATTTTTTACTTTTTATTTTTTTTAACATTTATTTATTTCTGAGAGAGAAAAAGAGAGAGAGAGAGCAAGCAAGGGAGGGGCAGATAGAGGGGAGAGAGAGAATCTCAAGCAGTTTCCATGCTCAATACTGAGCCCAGTGCGAGGCTCAGTCCCACAGCTATGAGACCATGACCCGAGCTGAAACCAAGAACTAGACACCCAACCAATTGGGGCACCCGGGTGCCCCTTTAATTCTTTAAGTTGTCACTTCATTTAAGCTTGTTTCTTTTCCTATGTAGTGTCTCCCTTCAAAAGGTTGTTAGAAGTGACTTGAAGCAAAATTTAAATGTTTGAATTTCAAGTGTTTCTTAAATGGAAGGTTGTAACAAAAAGTGGGAGAAGAAGGATTTGGGGTTTTGAGGATCCTATGAGTCAATGTGTTGAGGGGGAATAGTTTGAAAACTGCCACCTCAGGGTATGATATTACATACACTGCTGAAGTACTCAGCGAGCCTCAGGTTCCTGAAATCATGAGAGTGGTTCCTCCTCCAGTGTTGGTGAATACTTCGTTTAGATCAAGAGTGCTGAAAGGGAGACAAGTATCATGTTTGCACGTATAGGAGGATTAGAAGGAACTTGACAGAGGAACAAGGGGGAGATGAAGGGGGAAAATGGTGGGGGAAAGGGAGAGAGGCAAACCATGAGAGACTCTTGAATGCTGACAAAAACTGAGGACTGATGGATGTGGGGGGGAGGAGGGATGGGCATGGAGGAGGGCACTTGTGGGGATGAGCACTGAGTGTTATGTGGAAACTAATTTGACAATAAACTATTTGTAAAAAAAAAAAAAGGGTGCTGAAAGGGAGAAGAAAGAAAATTTCTCTAAAAATAGAATTTTCTTTTTTTGGTGTCTGTTTATTCCTGAAAACAAATTAATCTAAATAGCAGTTTTGTCTCCTGCTTGTTCCCAGGTGTTCCTCTTTGTTGGCTCTGATGCCTTCAACTGCTGTACTTTTCTCTCTGGCTTCTTGTTATTGGCTGGGACGCAGGATGGAAACATTTATCAGCTGGACGTGAGGAGTCCGAGGTGAGTCATCACTCATTTGCATGATGCAGGTCTTCTACAGAGTGGAAATTTTTATTAGCTTTAACAAATTAATTGATTTAGGGTAGCATGGAGATGACTGTTGAATCAAAGGTATATTTTTCCATTTATAAAGGTTTGCCGGTGTGAGTTGTCTGATTGTTCATATTATTCTTGGAATCATATTAAAAGGTAATTTTAGGGGCGCCTGGGTGGCTTAGTCGGTTTAGCGTCCGACTTTCTCTTAGGTCATGATTTCGCGGTTCGTGGGTTCGAGCCCCGCGTCGGGCTCTGTGCTGACTGCCAGCTCAGAGCCTGGAGCCTGTTTCAGTCTGTGACTCCCTCTCTCTCTGACCCTCCCCTGCTCACGCTGTCTCTCTCTCTCTCTCTTTCCTAGAGATAAATAAAACATTAAAAAAATTTTTTTTTAAAAAGGTAATTTGATTAATCTGTCATGATTGTCTTATTATAGTGATTACTTTGCAATCTAATAATGAACTAACATTTCACTTAAAATGATTGTGTAGAACTTGTAATTTTAAGGAGCTCAGTACTTTTCTCAGTGGTATTAAATCTGGGTTAGCCCAAGATTGATCATTTTTAGTTCATGTAAGCCAGCTGTGTTTCTTTGTTTAGTTTGGATCATAACCTATCTGAAACAGGCCTTATTCTGGTCTTAAAGATAGCCAGAGAAAATCGCACAACCCCTCCGCCCCAGGATTTAACAATTTCTGCAATTCTGTCCCTTCTTCTTTCCATTTCTTTCCTTTGTTCAATTGACATTGAATGAATGGCTTTTGTGGGCTCTGAAAAGCAGAAATAAAAGATATAGACTCTGCCTTTGAGGCACTTGGATTCTAACAGTAAAAATGGGCAGGTTAAAGACTGTTGTGAGGCAGCTGTGATCAGTGGGCTGACAGGGCTCTACACACAAATTTGAGAAAGCACATGTTTCTCCAAGGAAATGAAGCTTTAATTGGATTTTGTCCACTAGGAAGTTACCAAATAAAGAAGAAGGGGCCTGCCTTGGTAGAATGGCATATAGAGCAGAGTGAAGACATGCATGGCACTTTCAGGGATCTCTGAAATACAGGAAATATGTATGGTACAGACGGTTAGGAGGGAGAAGTGATTCCAGACAGGAAAGCAGGAGTTTGTTTAGAAAGTACTAGCAAGCCATCCAGAAGAGTTTGTACTTTATTCCAAAAGCAGTGAAGAAATTCTAATGAAAGAGTGACCACCTTGTACCTTTTCTTCCATAATTTAAGGTACTTTACTTTTTTACTTATTTCTGCTCTGTGGAGATAGGGAATCTGCTCTGATCACTATTAGAAAATCAGCCTTACACATATATTAAATTGATTCATACCTTTCTCTTTCATTTTAAATAGTCCTGACATTCTAAATATTTTTCAGTTGTCTTAATTCTGTGTATAAGCAAAATAATTAACATGTTGTTAACATTGTTGTAAACTGTTATCAGGCCTCCCCTACAAACTGGAGTTATTGGTGGTGACTTCATTCAGCCTAATGACTCATTTAGTTAGTGACATATTTAGATTCACTTGAAGGTAGTTTTTCGTGGATGATCTTTAAGTACCTTGCCAAGAAAGAAACTATATGAATGTTTAATCTCTGTCCATATTTGTCCCGTATGCTTTTTGTGTGGTGAGTACTATGTGTTGAATATAGGCAAGCATTGCTTTTGAAGAAAGAAAGTGAAATTGCTCCTTTTTTTTGAACCCTAGGGTTCCAGTACAAGTCATCCACAGATCAGGAGCACCAGTTCTGTCCCTGCTGAGTTTCAGAGATGGATTCATTGCTAGTCAAGGTGGGTCCCGTAGCCAGATGAGAGAGATAGTTTTCTGTAGGTCATTTAAACATGGATTTAAGAGCACTTGGGTGGCTCACTCAGTTGAATGTGTGACTCTCAATTTTGGCTCAGGTTATGATTCCATGGTTTGTGGGATCTAGCCCCATGCTTGGGTCTCTATCTCTCTCTCTCTCTCTGCCTTTACCCTGCTCACACATATTCTCTCTCTCCCCCAAAATAAATTAACATTTAAAAAATAAATAAAAAGGAGTGCTTGGGTGGCTTAGTTGGTTAAGCGTCTGATTTCAGCTCACAGCATGATCTCACAGTTCGTGGGCTTGAGCCCTATGTTGAGCTCTGTGCTGACAACTCAGAACCTTGAGCCTGCTTCAGATTCTGTGTCTCCCTCTCTCTCTGCCCCTCCCCTGCTCGTGCTCTGTCTCTCTTTGTCTCTCAAAAATGAATAAACATTTAAAAAAATTAATATATAAATAAACATAGGTTTAAATGCCTGAGTTAAGGGCATGGTCCTCCATGATTCTTTGGCATATTATGTTTATCACTTAGTGTTTATCACTACATTAGAATTGTCTATATCCTCCTCCATCCAGGCTCCTTGAGAGTAAGTAATGACTCTACCTTATTCATCATAATATAACTCTGTTTTCAAATGACAAAACTAAGGCTAATAAAAGAAAGTTACCAGAAGCCATATGTTTGTTCAAGGAAAAGTATTCTGTTTTGTAAGAGAGAAGCTGGCATTGTAGTGGGTACCACTAACTCTTGGATGGGCAAGCATAGGCTGGTTGGCTACTCTGTAAGGTGCTGTGATGGGAATTCTGTGCTAGTGAAAAAGTTGGAAATAGATGATCTTTGAGGTCCTCTGGAATACTTTGATTCACTAGAGAGAATTGAAATTGCCAGTTTAAACAATTTTTATTAATTACCAATTTATGGCTATTCCTGTTTCATCTTGTTTTGCCCATTCCCATACAATCTTCAACTCTTATAAATATTTTGAAACATATCACAAACATTGTATTATTTCACCTGTCAATATTTATATATGTGTCTCTAAAACATAATTATTTTATTGAAAAGATGATTTTTAATAATCGCATAAGAAAGGATACAGCCTGTGGCGCCTGAGTGGCTCAGTTGGTTGGGTGCCCGACTTCAGCTCAGGTCATGATCTCGCAGTTCGTGGGTTTGAGCACCACGTCAGGCTCTGTGCTGGTGGCTTGGAACCCAGGGCCTGCCTCGGATTCTGTGTCTCCCCCTCTCTCTGCTCCTCTCCCACTTGTGCTCTGTCTCTGTCTCTCTCAAAAATAAGATTAAAAAAAAAAAAGATAGTCTTCCTGTATGCTGTTGGTTGGGATATAGATTAACAGATAATATATGTTTTGCCAAAGTGAGCACTAGTTTAACAGATAACTTAAAATAAAATTGATTAACAGATAGTTTTGGACAGCAGTTTTTCAAATTTTAAAAAGCTTGAAAACATTAATTATATTAAAAAATGTTTATCCTGGGTTCTATGCAAAGTCACAGTGCTACTCAGAAAAACATCATACATAAAGATATTCTTTTATGCAATATGCTGTCAACTGGGTAAAATAAAAATTTTCACAGGAAAGATAGGAAAATACATAAAAATATTAACAGTGATTATCTTTGGTAGATTATGAGTGTTTTTTTTTTACTTCTGTTTCTTTGTTTTTAAAGTTTTCTTCAATTAGCATGTACTATTTTTATATTAAGTAAAAAAAATAACAAAAAAATTACCTTATTCAGCAGTTTATAGACCATCTCAGGTTTCCTTTGTCTATACTCTTGAGAAAATTAAGTTTAAAAATTACATATGCTTTTATTTTCTTGGTATAACAACTATGCTCCTTTGCCTAGTTTTGTGTGGTCAAATTTATAGATTGAAGAATAATTTGGGAGCACAGATTTTCCTTAAAACATTTGTATAGAGGGGCGCCTGGGTGGCTTAGTTGGTAAGCGTCCGACTTTCGCTTAGGTCATGATCTCGCGGTTCGTGGGTTCGAGCCCCGCGTCGGGCTCTGTGCTGACTGCCGGCTCAGAGCCTGGAGCCTGTTTCAATCTGTGACTCCCTCTCTCTCTGACCCTCCCCTGCTCACGCTGTCTCTCTCTCTCTCCCCTAGAAATAAATAAAGCATTAAAAAAAAAAAACATTTGTATAGACAAATTTTCTGTTAAAAATCCTTATCTAGGGTAATCAAACATATAAACCTGCAGTTGCTTGCTCCGTGCCTTGGGCAGGTATTACTAATCAATGACAGCCCTTCTTCCCACTGCGCTTGCACTTGGCCTTCAAATCCTCTAGCCCAGCATTTTAGGCAGCCACTGTAGGTCCTCATGTTTGACTCACATAATGAGATCTGTTTGCCATTCTCAGTTTTGGGATAATCTTCTTTAGGCTAGTGATGTACAGAAATAAACTAAAATATTGAGTTTATTAAAACTCCTTTGCATGCAGCTTTCTCTTCAGTTATCTAAATTTTTCTTTTGCCTTTTAGGTGATGGTAGCTGTTTCATTGTCCAACAAGACCTAGACTATCTCATTGAGCTCACTGGGGCCGACTGTGACCCTGTGTACAAGGTACAGGCATGGGAGGAGCCTGGGTGATTTTCACCTGGGATCTAGGGCTTATGAGGGGATCGAATCCAGCTACTTGGTGGGCATTCAGGATGATAAAACACTTAGGGGCAAGATAGAAGGCAAAAAGAGTTTTGTGTCAGGAGTGATTTCACCACCTACTAGCTCTAGAAACTTGGTAAAGCACTTCATCTTTCCAGTCTTTCAGTTCTTCTGTAAAATGAAAGTATTAATGAGATAATGCATATGAAAAATATGTGAATTTTAAATCTGTAAATATTAGCTATCATTATTATTATTTAAAATTCACTCATTTGATTAGAGTGGAAAGAGAAAAATGAAAGGAGAAATATCTATTGACCAGACATTCTGTTGGATGTTTGGATGTTTTACGTGTATCATCTTGTTTCGTTGCTATTTTTCTTAAAGTATAGGTATTATTATTTCTCTTGTTTTTATACAGTTAATACATACCTGTAAAAATTCAAATAGTACAAAATTATACAGACTTAAAGGTACCTTTTAAGACCTTTTTGGTTTCACTCTTCTTTCCAGAAGTAAGTAGCATTAACAGTTCGGTATGTATCTTTCAAGACTAGTTTTGGACAATCTACACTTACATCCTGTGTTTATGTATTTATGTAAATAGTGCAGTTTATTTTTTGTTCGTACATAATTGGGATCATTCTATGTGTATTGTTCTATAACTTTTTGTTTTAGTTAACATCTTGTTATGTTAGATGTTTTTTAGTTAACATCTTTTTTAAATGTTTTTTTCAATAAAAAAAATTTTTTTAAATGTTTTATTTATTTCTGAGAGAGAGAGACAGAGTGAGCAGGGGAGGGTCAGAGAGAGAGGGAGACACAGAATCCGAAGCAGGCTCCAGGCTCTGAGCTAGCTGCCTGCACAGAGCCTGATGCAGGGCTTGAACCCACGAACCTTGAGATCATGACCTGAGCCAAAGTCAGAGGAGAGGCTTAACCAACTGAGCTACCCAGGCACCCCTTTTAGTTAACATCTTTAGTTAACAGCTCTTTTCAGATAAATGTACATAGATTCACTTCATTTTTTTAAAATGTTCTATTATTTATTTTTGAGAGAGAGAGACAGCATCAGTGGGGAAGAGGCAGAGAGAGAGGGAGCACAGAATCTGAAGCAGGTTTGTCAGCACAAAGTCTGATGTGGGGTTCAAACTCACGAACTGTAAGATCATGAACTGAGCTGAAGTCAGACAATTAATTGAGCTACCCAAGTGCCCCTAGATCCACTTCATTTTTAAAAATCTCTATATAGTGTTTTGTATTGTAAATTAACACACCATTTTCATTTTGTGAGAAAAGTGAGATCCAGAGTACAAGTGAGAAAAATGGGATCCAGAGTAGTTGAGAAAGTTGCCTTAGGTCATGTAGCTATGCTTCAGCAAACCTGAGATTAAGTTACTTTCAGAATTCATGCTACTTCTACTAAATTAGTGGTTCTTAACCTTTGAGTCTCAGGCTGCTTCTTTTTTTTTTTTTTTTTTTTTGAGGGGGTGATACAGACTTTTTGAATTAGATTTTTCTGTTTACAGCTGAGATCACATGTAAATGCTATTTTGCTGGTCTGCCTAGGTATATTAATCCTAATGAGTTTAGATTTATGATGAGTGGGCTCAGTCATATAAAAACAAAAAACACATATTGTTTTAAAACAGCACATGTTGTGCTCCTCCTATTAGGCCAGTTTTGGTTAAAAACCGCTGGTTTCAAAGCTCAGTCTGAATTTGAAGATGAATCGGGGCGCCCGGGTGGCTTAGTCGGTTAAGCGTCCGACTTTCGCTCAGGTCATGGTCTCGCGGTTCGTGGGTTCGAGCCCCGCGTCGGGCTCTGTGCTGACTGCCAGCTCAGAGCCTGGAGCCTGTTTCAGAGTCTGTCACTCCCTCTCTCTCTGACCCTCCCCTGCTCATGCTGTCTCTCTCTCTCTCTCCTCGAAATAAATAAATAAAAAAAAAAACATTTAAAAAAAAAATAAAAAAAAAAAAAGAAGATGAATCAAGATATACACTGTATGATTCTAAAATCTATTTTAGCCATTTTGTACAGTTGCTATTTTATTGGACTACAATATATGTTTGTTTGTTTGTTTGTTTGTTTGTTTTTTTAAGGACACCGGGAGTGCCTGAGTGGCTCAGTCGATTGAGCATCTGACTGTTGATTGTGGCTTAGGTCATGATCCCAGGGTCATGGGATTGAGCCCCTCATTGGACTCCATGCTGAGTGTGAAGCCTGCTTAAGATTCTTTCTCTTTTCCCCTCTGCCCCTCTCCTGCTAGCATTCTCTTTCTATCTAAAATAAAAAATAAATAAGGCCCAGGTCCTCTTCTAATTCTCCCACACTGTGCAGCTCACAAATGGTTCTGAAATTAGAACATTCATTGTTGTACTTGAAAACTTAGGGATGTGGGGGGTGCTTGGATGGCTCAGACAGTTAAGTGTCCAACTCTTTTATATTTTTTGTTATTTTTGAGAGATAGAGTACAAGGGGCAGAGAGAGAGGAAGAGAGAGAGAACCCATGAGGGGCAGAGAGAGAGAGTGTGTGAAAGAGAGTGCAGAGCACAAAGTGGGGCTCCAGTTCACCTGATACGGGGCTTGAGCTCACAAACCTGAGATCATGACCTGAGCTGAAGTTGGATGTTTAACCGACTGAGCCACCCAGGCGCCCCAAGTGTCCAACTCTTGATTTCGGTTCAGGCCATGATCTCACGGTTTGTGGGATTGAGCCCCACATGGGGCTCTGTGCTCTTAGCTCAGAGCCTGCTTGGGATTCTCTTTCTTCCTCTCTCTGCCCTGCCCCTGCTTGCAGACAGTGTGCACACATACTCTCTTTTAAACAAATTTTTTAGACAAATTTATTAAATCTTAAAAAGAAAACTTAAGGACATGGAGAGTCAGATAGAACAGAGGAAAAGAAAGCCATAAGTGGGCACGTGAAGAACTAAGCTGCTGTATCCCAACACCTGTGTTATGTGTGGTTTAACTAAATGAACACATGAGGCCAACATTAGTAGACCTGCTCAATTCACCTTCCAAATCTGAACAATAAGACTAAAAGCTCAGGCTTGCAATTTCTACTATGCATAGTTCCACCAGTGACGAGGACCTCATAAGCAAGATCTCTCCTCCTGCACAATATGATGCATGCACCCAGCCTGCCTAGCAGCTGAATAGCTGGAGGTGCCAGCACTGCCCAGATAACATGAACCATGGTTTCTTGCAGTTTCTTCACAATAGGAGCATCACATCCCTCAGCATGGAGGTTGGAGGAGTGGGCCAGCCTGCCGTTATGGCTGCTGGCTGTCTTTTGGTTTATTTGAACCAGTCTCTATTTCTCCAGTCTTAAAAGATGGTTCCAGTATAGAGTTGGTTCCACTGTAGAGAAGAGACTTTCAGAATGCTGTGATCAACCTCATTTTCCACCTTTGCTTTGTAATTGTATCCCAAAATGGCTACAACTGCTATGACAAAATCCAGGAGTAGGATGATGACAGATATGGCAAGTCTGCAGCAGCTTTCCTAGATTATGGCACAGCAGCCAATCAACCAAAAATGAAAAGTGGCACTCCACGGTTGAGATCACTGCAGCAGGGAAGAGAGGATATACATCTGCAAAGAAGTGATCATAAGTGATGAAGACCTGGGCTTCCACATAGTGTAAAATGCCAGCTTCCCCTGAAGATGAGGTTGAGAAACTCCTCAGTCTTAGAGGAGGTGCCACACTGGCCCATCTGTGGTGCCGGCAGCCTGCTGGCACCATGCACACACCAAGCAAGGTGGCAGTGGTGGCTGAGCCTTCCCACTGGAGGCTGCATGCCTGAGTGGGACTCACCACAGCCCCTGGTGCCACTGTGCAGCCCCAGCGGTGCCTCGCTCCTCATCAGACAGGCACTTACTGAGAACTTCTTTGATATAATTTTACAAGGTTCAGAGATACCCTGGCCCATCTGTGGGTCATCTCCTTTCCTAGGTACAGACCCTCTGCCCTCAGATATGCTATTTGGATAATTCCTTTCTCTGTTCTGTAGTCATAAGTGCCCTGGACCTTCGCCACCTATTTTTATTTTATTTCAATTAATTCATTTCTTTAAAAAAAATTTTTTTAAGGTTTTATTTATTCCTGAGAGAGAGAGAGGCATTGTGAGCAAGGGAGGGTCAGAGAGAGAGGGAGACAAAGAATCTGAAGCAGGCTCCAAGCTCTGAGCTAGCTGTCAGCACAGAGCCCAATGGAGGACTCGAACCCACGAGCTGTGAGATCATGACCTGAGCCGAAGTTGGATGCTTAACCGACTGAGCCACCCAGGTGCCCCCATTCATTTCTTATTTAATTTACATCCAAGGTAGTTAGCATATAGTGCAACAATGATTTCAGATGCCCCTTACCCATTTAGCCCATCCCCCTCCCACAACCCCTTCAGCAGCCCTCTGTTCTCTATATTTGTCTCTTATGTTTTGTCCCCCTCCCTGTTTTTATATTATCTTTGCTTCCCTTCCCTTATGTTCATTTGTGTAGTATCTTAAATTACTCATATGAGTGAAGTCAAATGATATTTGTCTTTCTCTGACTAATTTTGTTTAGCATAATATCCTCTAGTTCCATCCATGTAGTTGCAAATGGCAAGATTTCATTCTTTTTGATTGCCAAATAATACTCCATTGTGTATACGTATATATACGTATCCATTCTTCTTTATCCATTCATCCATCGGTGGACATTTGGGCTCTTTCCATACTTTGGCTATTGTGGATAGCGGCCACCTATTTTTATATCATGGATATAATTCTCCTCTTGTCTTTGGAGTCAATAGAGCTTCTTAGACTTACTTGTACTAAAGCAGGTCAGTGACAGGGCTCTGTGTTTTTGGAATAGAAGAATCCCAGGCTTCCTTTGAGCTGTGAATTCTTATGTTCCAGGTAGCCACATGGGAGAAGCAGATCTACACATGCTGTCGAGATGGTCTTGTGCGACGCTATCAGCTTTCTGACCTCTAACCCCTTGGAAAGAAGAATCCCAGTTAATGAAAAAGTTTGGCCCTAGTCCACAAAAGAGAATAATCATTAGTCCTTCTCAAGGACATTGTCCCTTTATTGTCTTGGGCACCCTTTGGACATCACAGAAAATCAGCTACATTGGCCCATGTAGAATTAGCATTCCATGATAAAACCTACTGTGAACTGAGTAAGAAGCTCACATTTGAACCATGTATAAGCTCACCTCCAACAACAAGGGCGAGGATATGGATGCTTACAGTTTGACCTTAATACCATTTGTGTTAAATGTTTGCAGTGACCAGAGGACTAGAGCCTTTTCTCTGAAGGAAACAAAGAATATATGTTTGGAGGAGTCTGAATTCGAAAAACTTTGTTAAATATTTACTCCAGAAAGTCATTTAAGTTGATTGAGCTCTTGTCTTAGGCACTTCCTGTTGGCCTGGACATAGAGAAAGACTGCTTGTTAGCAGTAAATATCCCATAAGCAGCAATCTGGGAAAAGATTCTTACACAGATAGGGAAACTGTCTCAGTGTGGACAGCAGTTTTCTGCTACATGTGACTTTCAGTCCTTGGCAAACTGACATGGTTGATCATCCCAAATACAGGTGATAAAATTGAATCTTATCATTGTAAAGGCAGTGGCTGTCTAATTGTGGTCCCTTGAACAGCTGCATTGGTATCATCTGGGAATTTGTTAGAAATAGAAATTCCTGGGGCGCCTGGGTGGCTTAGTCTGTTAAGCATCCGACTTTCGCTTGTGTCATGATCTCGCGGTTCGTGGGTTCGAGCCCCACGTCAGGCTCTGTTCTGACTGCCAGCTCAGAGCCTGGAGCCTGTTTCATTCTGTGACTCCCTCTCTCTCTAATACTCCCCTGCTCACGCTGTCTCTCTCTCTCTCTCTCAGAAATAAATAAATAAAAAAAAAAAAACATTAAAAAAAAAAAAGAAATAGAAATTCCTATGCCCACCTCAGCCCAAATCAGAAATTCTATGGGTAGAGCCGACCCAGTGATTCTGATGCATGCTAAAGTTTGAGACCTAGAGGAAGAGATAGTGAAGGGCACTTAGTCATAGCTGGAACACAGTGCTCATAGGATGGTGAGGCTGGTCTATAGGAGATAAGGCTGCAGAGGTTGGCAGGACCCTGATAGTGAAGGGGTTTGAATGCCAGGTAAGGAGCTTGAATTTCATTTGGTTCACGAGAAACCCATCGAAGGATTTTAAGCAAAGGTGTAACATAGTCCCCTCTTTTTCTTTTTTCCAAAATAAAAATGGAGTCATAATATATATATTCTGTGTTTTATTTTCACTTAGAATCTCTGAGTTCTTTCTATCTTAGTACATTTAGAACTTCTTTGTTCTTTTTAACACTTTCCAGAATATGAATACCTTGTCATTTACATTTTAGGTATTATTAGACATTTGAGCTGGGCAATGTAGGCTAAGATCTGGATTTATTTAAGGGGAAGAAGCCAATTCCTGGCTTGGATAATAGTCTGATTCACAGCATGTAGTCTTTATAACTTTACTAAGACATGAAGATAGACTCAGATGAATTGATTTGCCAAGGGTCATAGAGAACAGGAACTTGAACACCATTTATCTTTAAATACATTTTTTCTACCTGTTGTGTATGTCTAAATTGTGAAAGTAAAATATTGTTATTTGTTGGATATTACTGGGTATTTACTCTATTTGGGGGACACCATTTATACATTTAATCCTCACAACACTTAAAAAGGAAATGGTATTTTTTTTTTATAGACAAGGAAATTGAGACTCAAGAAATTAAGTATTGGAGCACCTGGGTGGCTCAGTCGGTTAAGCATCTGACTTCGTCTCAGGTCATGATCTCATAGTTCATGAGTTAGAGCCCTGCATCAGGCTCTGTGGTGAAGCTCAAGGCCTGGAGCCTACTTTGGATTCTGTGTCACCTTCTGTCTCTCTGCCCCTTCCTTGCTCACATTCTGTCTGTCTCAAAAATAAGTAAACATTATAAAAAAAGAAAGAAATTAAGTACCAAACCCTTGTTTTGGACCTTGCTTGGTCTGTCTTCAAGGCCTATGCTCCCTCTACTATGCCACATGGTCACAAGACCCCTGGGACTAGACCAGTTTCATATAAGGAATGATTTGTGATAACGTCAGGTAGACCCAGACCTGTTCTGGAGCACAGAAATATTGAATTGGAGGAGGCCCAGAGGAAACCTCTAAGAAGTCAGATGAAGAAGACTGGATGAGGGAGGATATAGCTGAGTTCACCTAGCAGGTGTGTCTGTGAGTTCCTGTTCCAGGATTCACTCTTCTTCACAGGCATCGCATCTATAAGCCCCTTTTCATAGGTCTGCAGAGTTGATGGATGCAGTGATCCTTGATAGCTGCCCTGAAATCCAGATTCAAACAGAAGGAGCAGAGGCTTACCCTCGGTGCCAGAAGCCTTGTCTTTTCTGAATGGAATATCCCCAGTATGCTGCCCACAAAGCTTCTCCCCCTCTTTTTCTCCTTTTGGGTTGAAGAGTGCATTCTGGTTAAGGACGGGTGTACAACCCTCTTCTGCAGCTGTACTGGCCCAGGGAGGCTACACCTTGTTTCTTGGCTTTCAGATGCCCCCTTGTGAATAATTGTGAGAAGTGCCTCTTTCTGAAATCTGGAAAGCTGTCAGTAGCATCAGTTATTGAGCAAATACTTGGTGCCAGGCACAGTCTACACAATAGCCTTGCACAGTAAAGGTTTCCTTTTTTTTTTTTTTAATTTTATTTATTTACTTAGTGCAAGTGCAATTGGAGAAGGACAGAAAGAGGAAGAGGGATATAATCCCAAGCAGGATCCATGCTGTCCATGCAAGAGCATGATGCCAGGTCTGGTCTCACAAACTGTGAAATCATGACCCAAGCTGAGATCAAGTATTGGATGCTTAACTGACTGAGCCACCCAGGTGCCCCAAAAAGTTTCTTTTTCTTGAACACGTCTCTTTGTGGATATATTTTTTTCCTAATTTACTTTTCACTTTGAAATAATTTCATACCTTCAGAAAAATGGCAAGGATATGGTAACTCTGTGTTTAACATTTTAAGACTACCACCTGTTTTCCAAGTGGCTGCACCATATTACATTCTCAGCAGCGGTGTTTAAGGGTTCTGATTTCTCTATGTCCTTGCTAACACTTGGTTTGTCTGTCTTTTTTATTATAATCATTTGGTTACAGTGGTGTCTACCAGGTTTGTCCATGAAGACATGTTTTGTATTTTGTGGAGAGCTGCTTTGAGACTATAAATATCCTCTACCTCATACAGCTTGCATCATCTAGTTTCAGCATTTGTTGATGATTTCTGTTTGAGTCAGTTATTCCTACTATAATTGCCAAAAGGTGATTTTATAATTTTCATCATTCTTTTTCATTTATAATTTGCTTTCTACTCTAAGGTAGTGGTTTCCTTTCCCCCACTTATTTAATTACTAATTCACTCATTCATCATAGATCTATTAGTGTGGACTACATGTGGGTTCATATTTTATTCTATGGATTATAATCCAATATTATTATTATTTATTGTGGTGTTTAAATTATTCCAGCTGAGCCAGTGGTAGCTTCTTAAAGCTGGATCCTATATCCTTTTGTTTCTATCTTTCTTTTAGCACTTCCATATTTTCTGATACTACAAGATATTCAAGCTTCATCTTATACTGTCCCACCCCAGTCCTGGAATTGGTCATTTGTCTAGATAGCCCCAGTTCTTTTTAGTGGAGAATGGATTTGGATATCAAGTCTGGGCACTCTATGTATATCCTTTGTAATTGGGGTAGTATTGCATCTAGCCCCATCAGTGGACAGTACATATATATATTTCCGCATCCATCATTCTAGAGATACATTAAAGTTCATGAGTACACGCTGATGTCTCCCAATTCCAATCCATCTCCACTGGGATTGTTTTAGTGTGCATACATACCTCCTTCCCCCAACAGTGAGAAACTTGGCTCTCATAATCCTCAATATTTCACTTATTTGCCCAATACCTCTGTGAGTAACTAATCTGGCAAACACACAGACCACCTCCCCTTTCACCCCAGCCTCTGCACACATGGTGCCTCTTAGATAGAGTCTCCTGCATTCACCTCAGCCAGTCCCAGGCTGAGCAAGTTTCTCGCCCAGCCCTCTGGGTTTAATTTGTAATAACATCTTTTTTTCTGGTAATAAGAGTAAAATAAATGGCCAATCACATGAAAAGATACTCAACTTCAGTAGTTAATTAAATGGAAATTAAAATCCACAAGAAAGCTCAGAAATGCAAAAAATAAAAAACAATGCCATATTTTTACTTAACAAATAAGCAACTATGGCTATGAAATCATTGTTTCAGGTCCTAAAACTAGTAGCTAACAGGATTTGGAACTTAGTCTCTGATTCTACTGTCTCAGTGCTAAGGGAGCATTTTCCATATGATACATGCTTTTGTATAATTTTATTTAGTATTTTCATATCTACCCTACGGTGGAGTACATGTTAATAATCCTGTTCATTCAAGGAAACAGAGTTGAGGCAACTAAGTACACTTGCTTCAGGTCACACAAATGGGAAGTGAGCACAGCAGCATCAGGATATAGTTACTTTTTCACCAGTCAACTTACCCAACTGTAGTTTACTTCTTAGCTCTTTAATTGATTTCTCTGTCCTTTGGCCTGATTCCAAAAGTGTGTTTTAACTCTTCAAAATATACCTGAATTAGACCTTTGGCCTCAAATAATATGAGAGCAACACTAAAGCAGGCCCTCCTTTGTAATAGTGTGGTTTCAGAGGATCTAGGAAAGTTCTTAAATATCTCCGTCACTAGTATCTAAAATGCTATCAGAGGACCAAGCTTTTCAATCCACAATTAGAGATGAAGTTTAAGATGTAGCATTCTTCTTTCCTCATATGGTAGATATTAGATCCTTTGTTAAGAACACGTTTCTGGGATGCCTGGATGGTTCAGTTGGTTGAGTATCCAACTCTTGATTTTGGCTCAAGTCATGATCCCTGGATTATGGGATCAAGCCCTGCATTGGGCTCCACACTGAACATGGAGCCTGCTTAAGATCCTCTATCCCATTGCCACTCTCCCTTACTCATGTGCCCTCTCTCTCTCTCTCTTTCTCTCTCTCAAAAACAAAACAAGAACAAAACAACCCAATAAAAGCCACATTTTTATTTGAGAGGAATCAAAGGCTGAGTAAAGGAGTAATACTTAGAAAAGGTACTCCTGAAGTAGGAAGAGGAGGAGAAAAGGAAGGGATATAGTGTGTCATTGACTTAGGGAAAGACCACTGGAACAATAGTTCAGATACAAGCCCATACATATATGAAAACATTATATATAACATAGCAATCAATAAAGATTGGTGCAGATAACAAAGGACTGTTAAATAAGTGGATCTGGGACAGTAAGATATCTAAAAGGAAAAAATGATACTACCTTGTACCATATTTTTTAAAAGGGTGGATTAAAGATTTAAGAGGGAAATGGACTCTTAGAAGAAAATATGGGTGAAGGTCTTTATGTCCCTGTACAGAGAATATTTCTTAAACTAGACACCAGAAATATAACCAAAAAGGAAAAGATTGGTAAGTTCTACCCCATTAAAAAAAAAAAAAGTAAAAAGTCAAGCTCCAAAGTGAAAGGGATTTGTACTTTATGTTTTCTTTTATTTTTTTAATTTTTAAAAACTGTTTATTCATTTTTGAGAGAGAGGGGCAGAGAGGTAGGGAGAGAGGGAGAC